CAGCAGCAACAGTGAAACAGGGAAAGCCAACATTGCCTGGCTCCTTCCTTCTATAGCAGTCATAAATACCAGAGCTCCAGGTCCTTTGGAAGATAAGTCTTAGCATCAATTTATTTTAAAATGGCCTTGATCCATTAATTTACAACACAAACAAAAGGAGATTCGACAGTGTTACTTATTCATGAATGTAGATTATCTCTGAAAATTAAAAATCCACCCTTAAACAGTCTCTTGAGCACAAATGTCTGTTTCACCGGCTTTACCAAAAAATCAAACACTGGCATTGCCGTATAAGCCTATTATTTATTCCAATACTTTTGTTTCCTAATAGAAGGGGGGGTGGCATTTGGACCTAATTCAGAGTAACCTCTCCTTTCATAAACAGGTCAGCTCCAGAAAGATTCCATGTACACTAGCGTTACTCAATACTGAGATAATGCAGCAACTTGGTTATTGAGCTCAAAAAGATCCTCTGTGTAATATTGCCAGGGCTAGGACAACGTCAACATGCACAATGCAATCCCCCCCACCTCTACAGTGCTGTCTCTGCTTTATTGTGCTTAAAAGGACACACTTGCAGCTTGCGAAGACAGAAGGGTGTTATGGAACTTGCTCTCAAGCAAACACTCAAAAGACAACAGCCTAACCTTTGTACTTGAACAGTCTATTTCATTGTACATGTTCCTAATCCTGTAGAAAGAAAGAAAAACACCCAGTCCTCATCCCTTGGATGCAGTCCAAAAGGTTAGTCTCACTACATTCAGCTGAAATTAATTACATTTAATCAAGCACTTAAGTGCTATTAATTTCAGCAGCAGCACTTCTCTGTTCCTTAATGTTTAGGAAGGCAAACGACATGACCTGATCTTATCACATTGAGAATTCCATTGTCCTTGAAAGCGGCAGCCAATGAAGTAGCGCTGAGGTGGGGGAAACAGCAACGTTGTTGTTGTTGTTGTTATTGTCTCATCAGTTTACAAGGGAGGGGAAAACAGGCCGCTTTTGTACACATGAGCTATAACATGCAGTTCCAGACCTAGCCTGAAGCTCTAGGTCAGTTGTTACCAATTAACAATTCAATCCTAAACAGAGCTAGCGCTTCTAAATCTATTGACTTTAATGGTTTTAAAAGGGTGTGGCTCTTTGGAGGATGACACTGCTTGTTCATTGAGCTCAGTTGGACTTGCTTTTGACGAAAGATGCTTGGGATCCCATTGTGAGAGGTTACACTTTGTGTGTGTCTCTCTCTCTGTGTTACACATATATCATCATTTGCTGGCACTTTTATGGAACTTTACGCTATTCCTAAAAATAGCAATACAAAACAATTCTGCCTTTCAATATTGCTGCTATAATGGCATGCTCGTATAAACACTGTAGTGTTTAGATAATGAGATTATGAAAAAGGCAGACTTGTGTTCAAATCCATTCTCTGACTTGACGTTTACTGTGTGGCTTTAGATCGTGAGCTCTCTCTTAGCCTACCCAATCTAACAGGGCTATTGTGAGGATAAAATAAATTACAGAAACACCCTTCCCCTTTTGAAAAATCCTGTAAGTGTATGCCACATTTCTGGTACACCAATATCTGGGTTTGGAGACCCCACCCCTACACTTACTGAGGTTAGTGAATGAGGAGACAGCTACTTGCCACCCAGTGGGTCTAGCCACATGGTCCCACTCCAGCTGTGTTCCACTGAGATGGCCCTGGGATGGCAAGAGAGCTCAAAAAGGCAGCAGTGCCAGTAAAGCCACATGGCTCTTTTATGGAGTTGCCACCTAGTAAGTGGGCCTGTTGCCAGATGGCCAGCAGGCCCAGGAGATGGCCATGGGAATTCCCCAGCATGGGGTAAACCCATACCCCCATCTGAAGTCTTGCAGGAATACCCACTTTGGTAGGATTTCCCTGTGACTTCCTTTAAAAAGAGAGTCAGCATAAGGCCAACGAGGATGGCTCCTTTAAAAAGAGAGTCACCATAAGGCCAACGAGGATGGGCCCCACATGGGAGAGAAAGGACATACAGGTGAGTTTAATCCCTCCTCTCCCAGCACTAAGGCCACAGAGACATCCTACAAAGGACATCAGAGGGCACACAGATCCAGGGGTACAACCTGGCACCTCCAGTTTCTAACAAGCATTTGAATACAAGGCTTTTTATAGAATCTGCATTTACAGTTAATAAAGTGAGGGAGTTTAAGTTGTTTTGCTCAGAAGCCAGAACCTTGTAGAAGAAACCTCCCCTATTCCCACTTCCTTTCATTTTAAAAGCTGATAAGAGTCATATCTAAAATCCCCTGACTGCCCCCATTCTGATGTGGATAATAATATTTTAATGCAGGAACAGGGCTGCTGGAGGCAAAGCGGGAAAGTAACAGGGGCAGAGAAAAGCCACACGGCTCACTGCTTTCGGAGGGCCTTTCCCTGCTTAGCAGGACCAGCTGCTGAGCTCATGAACTCCTTTCTCACTGTCGGGTATAAAGCGCTAGCACAAGGCACGATATTGCAATAAATTCAGGAAACTGTCAAATCTGCATCTCTTAAGTCACTGAAATCCACAAAACAACAACAGTCATTTAGTAACCAGTGTGTTGAAAATCTATGAAGTCTATTTAAAAAAAAAAAGAAATTAAAAAATCCAAACGGTTCATTAGGTGGGATATAAATTAAATAAATAAAGTCCTATGCAGACATTCTTTTCCTTTGTTCAAGATCATATGTCATCCACAACTGCACTTCATCTACAGACATCAAACCCAATGTGTTTAGGACCGATCTGGCCACTAAGCACATCACAAAGCCAAGGTGTAAAGATTACATGTATCCTAACAGTACAATCTGAAGCAAAGTCACACCCTTCTAAGTCCTTTAAAATCAATGGGTTTAGAAAGGCATAACTGCTCTTATAATTGCACTGTAAGACTGCAATTCTAACAACACTGTAAGCTGCACTGAATAAACCGGGACTTTTGTCTAGACCTGCTTAGGATCGTTTCCTACGTGCATTAGACAGCAGGCATACAGAGCCTTACATAAAGGTGAAGATCAATGCTCAAAAATCTTAGTATGGATAAGACACACTGTACAATATAATCCTGATCAAACCCCTGTGGGTGGTACAGAAACATCTGAGTGAGGCTTGATACAGGAAGAGGTAAATATAAAACCAATATTGATAAGCATTGCAGTATCCTCCAAGATAAATGGAAAAAGAAATCAAAAGGGGAAAAACAGAGTCATTTTTCAGAATTCTTGTCTTTTAAAACAGCTTGAAGCACTATAAGTAATACAGGTAAATAAACTATCTTTAAGAATATATTTTTAACTGACAGTGATGTTTTAATGACAGATTTACAATGAAAATATGACCACCATAATTCCAACATGCAACATGTCTACTAGTTGTATTTTGCAAACATTATTTGCATTATTTTTGTTCTTTGTGAAGGGGAGATAACTAACACAACAAAAGAAATGAAATAAAACTCCAATCTGCTCAACAACTGAAGTAGAATTTTTAAAAAAAATAAATTAATCAAGTTGACAGCTCAAAATAAATTAAATAAAATCAAGTGCCACTGACGGCTTCTTTGAGCTCAAACAGTCGTTTCCCCATGGTGTGCAGTCAAATATTTTTGACACTTATATAAAAGTCAAAAGAAGGCAAGTTGGACATGAAACCCATTTATTCTGCATCTAAAGTCCATTAGCGTTTTGGTTACATTGACACATAGAAGGTGAATTTGAATTCAACCTGAGGTTTCTTCTTTTATCATTTGGAATCAGTGACCTTTCTGGTATACAGTTTTGGATTAAGACTGTACTTGAAAGTCTTTGGATGCTAACAGGGAAAGAATCAACAGAAAAATAAATTTTAAAAAATTAAATACAATTTCTGATGAACTCATAGCTACTACATAAACCTGACTAAGCTTTTGCAACCTTGGGGTTTCAATGTCCCTGGTTCTGGTACACATACTAACAGCAGCAGCTGATACATGTCTGATCTTGGCAGTTATGATGTCAATCTGTTGTTGTTGTTTTAACCTAAACCAGAGAGGAGACAAGTCATCCGAGCACTCAGAGAGACTAAACCACTGCATATTCAAGGAATTAGTAATAAAATCCATCAAATAAAGCTCCAAAGGACTCCCCAAAATGCAAAGAAATGCTGTTGCTTTAAGGTATGTTCAAATAAAAGATTCACTGTCTTCTGGAAGAGCTTCTGGAAATGTCAGTCCCTTTGCAGGTTCCAAATTGTGACTTGAGGATCAGGTTGTACACTCTCTTCCTCAAATCATGACAAATCCTTCCATTAGATCAGCTAGATAGTGCAAGCAGGACTGTTTTATTGGTTAGTTTCACTGCGAGCTACGTGGTACATATGTGCTTGGTTTATCGATCACTCTAGCTTGCTTCTTTAACACAAAGAGCATCAGGAAAAGGGGGGGAGAAAGGACGATGAAAAAAACACAAGTAACACAAAACAAAATAGTTTCCAATCGTGCAAAATTTGCTTCACTGGATAAAGCACTTCTTCACACAGTTAATGTCCCCAAAAAATTCCCCTCCCCCAGAAGATACAGGATTGAAATTGAAGCCATTCTTATTTTTGTCTTTTTGTTTTTTAAGGCTATACAAACACAAAAAGAAAAAAAAAGCATTGCAAGAACACTTTGTCAGACGTCAGATTCTTCTTGGCTTTGGAGGTTAAGCCCTGGAGAAGCAGTCATGTGGTCCCAGTTCATTTGCCCCTTTAGGACAACGAAAAGAGAATGGGAGAGGAAAGTCAATGATCCCAACAATAAAATCCAAAGTTGACTTTACAATCACAGGTACAAATCGCTCAGGTTGATAATTTCATTTCTCTTAAAGATCACTGTCATCTAAAACTAATTAGAGCCGCCGGTTTGCCAAGGATCTGTCAAGAGTCAAAGCAAAGAGTGGCACTGAGAAAGGTTCTCGTTTTTCGATTATGGCAGTCTGACTGGGTGGCTGGAATTATTGGCAGGTCTGGCCAAGTTCGGGGGGGGGGGCATTTTTTTTTAAATGGTTGGATCCTTGTTCCAGCTTGCAGATCAGGCTTCTCCATGACCTCCTTTTATAGTGGAAAGACTAAGAAGCCAGAAAAGGTTGAATATTTCCACCCTCCCATGAGGTTTCCTCGCTCCAGTTTGAGATGGACTTTGTCTTCCCTTTCCATAAGAAGTAAGACCCCATTGCTGGCTGCCTCTCTGGTGACGTCTTGATCCCCAGCAAACGCTGAAATCACTGGATAGCCGTTTTGCATTAAACTTACCTAAAAAAAAATGCAAAAGAAAATACAATATGAGAAGTCTCGGAAGTGTCTTTTCACCAGTCACAAAACATTTAGACTTTAGAGCATACAGCTTCTCAAGCTAAACTACAATCTAAAATTTATTCATTTAAAAATCTGTATCCCATTTCAAACAAACATATAAAATATTTTTAAAAAAACACCACTGGGTCTCCTTCACATGCAAATAGGATTAGATTTCAAGCGGGAGGCAGGGCAGGAGAGGGAAAGATATTCCATACGGAAATATTTGAGGTGGTCAAAATGTGCCTTCTAACTCAGCTCATGAGCACTTCTCTGCCACCAGGCAATAGCTCTGGCAGCAGAGAGCAGTCGACTAGTGCTAGCCATGAGCAGGGATGGGTAGTTGATAGTGGCAGCGGAAAGCAGTGACCGCATCCTACGATTTCTCGGAGCTGAAAAAGGGCATATTAATAAAAGATTCAGTGTATGAATTCTGCCTTTATTATGTGTCTCCACTTTACTCTGCTTTATTAGCCTTCCTGCGAATGATTCTGCAAGGAAACAAATGAAGTAAAAGAAGATTCTCCGACGTCAGTACGTACCTGGATAGTTTGTCTGTTATATACTTTCACAACATGGAAGCTGAAACTATAAATCCCTTTTCTTGGTGCTACAAATATACTGGAAGCCAGGTCAAAATGGTTGCCAATATTAACTAATACCTGAAGGGGAAGGGGGGGGGAGAGAAGGAGGAAACAAGTCACACTTTAGTTCCAAGCTAGTGGGAGAGCAGAGGGGGCGAAAGAATTCGGCAGCAACCCTCAAAGCCAGGCAACCCCAATGGCATTTGCTGCACAATTAAAATGGACTTGAGGGGAAAGGAGTCCGTTTCCAAGGTGCTTTAAAAGCAATCACTTCAGACAGCTGATTGATTTACGCAGTGGTGCATCCAAACCTCTTGGAAAAAAGAATGAAAGCAAGCCTGTGTCTTCACAGGGCAGGAGAAACCATACTATATCCTCCCTGAGACATGACACAGGGTACACACAAAAGAAGGGAGAAATAACCCAAGTCAGCAAGGATTTTTTTTTTTTTTTACATTCTCCTGTGACAGTATTGAAACTAATTGTGTCCCTTGGGGCCCACACTAATGAGAAAAAAATAAGACTCTGTCATGCCTCATGTGATGGAGTAACAGGAAAGGGAGGTGTTAAAATTTTTTAAGCAAGTTACGTCTTGGGTATTTTGGTTTTCTTTGCCATCACACCCCCTCCCCCCACATAGGGACTAATTTGATTAGGCTCAAACCAATAAGTGGGGTGGATGCATTTGAACCCACAGAGACAGCACTAGTCGTAGGTAGATGTAGAGTGGGGGGGGGAAGTAAGCGCAATCTGCCAATTAGAATAATGGGAAGCAATTGCTCAAGCCAAGTTATGAATGTTTCAAAAGCACCTTGCAGAGGAACAGAAAGAGTGATGGATTCACAAGGGATGGGCTGGCCCCTCCCGGCAGAAAGCACTCAAGAAATGTGAGTCAGAGCCTAGAAACCATCCCACATTAGGCATTTGGGATTCTTCCTCTGCCTTTTCAAATCTGATCGAAAATCTTGTGGCTAATCTCAGATAACTGGTTACAGAGACTTTCTTGGGATTTGAAAGCTCAGTAAAGCTAACGTAGCCTCCTGCTGGCTCCATCTGAAACAAAGGATTGTCGAGATCGGACCCAAAGCTCACTGGCGCAGTACAACAGACTTCAAAAGACCCAAAGATCTCTTGCAATTCTTTACTCTTTTTTTTTTTTTGGCCTGCTAGGTAGCTCCAGATTCAGAACTTTTACATAAAAAACTTCAATAAACCCCCAAAAGTGTTTATTTCCATGTACACAGAAATGAACTGAAACAGTCAGAAGTTGGTGGAAAATGTTGGCTGTTCTTTACATAGTCCAGATTCATATATTTTAAAGGTAAAAAATGAGAAGGACGGATCTGAATGATCAGATTCTAGTTCCCTTCAATATTTTCTTAATTAAGGAACCAAGGCATACACCTGCCATTACCTCTCATTTAGCTGAAAAATGAAACATCCATGCACATACAAAAAAGAATGAAGACTAAAACTATTCTAAGTTTTAAAAGTCTATTTACTATAAAAGGTGATAAAGTTGTATACATATTATGAACAAAATTGTAATATATGTATGCAGCGCTGTAGGTCTACTATTGTATTTCTCTGTCTTAACAGGGAGGAAGCAGTGGGAAAATTCTATACAAACAATAGGAAGTGTCTACCTGCAAATATCAAAATAGGCATTCTGGTAATTGTTAATAACTGGAAAGGCAAACAGATACAAAAGGTAGGAGCAGAGAACCAATAGGTTAGTGATGTCAAAAGGGCAGATAGGAGATAATCCATGTTTAATAATTCTGGATGGATTTCCATTCGTTTTGTGTACATGCAAATAAATATTTAGCCTAAGATCTTGTTGCCACCAACAAGTATATTTAGTACGTACACTATATTTTAAGGATTTTAAAAAAATAATAATCAGTATTCTTTCTCTTTTGTTCCTGAATTTCAGCAATAAGGTTAGGCATCATATGTGCATGTAGATTTGCTCCAATGAGTAAAGAGGAAAAGCTTAAGCAGGCAGTGCCTTTGACTGTCCCCATGCTGCACTATACCCAAATTTTGTGGATTCCCCTGTTGGCTTCCCCTCCACCAACCTTTCTGTCTTTACATGACTTTTAAGGAAAGAATCCCAGAATCTCAACACTGGAGAAATCAAATGCTGCAATATCCGTGGCAGAGAAGGGTACACATGCTGACTTTGTGAGTGGGGAGTCGTCTTTTCTCCTGAAGATACTTGTTGGTAGCTACAAGATCCTATGCGCAGGACTCAAAATTGGGGAGGAGAGAATTTGGGAACACTTTACTAGGCCCTTAGACTCCAGGCTGGTCCTGGCCCAAATGACAAGCCCATCATCATGGCCTATAGAAATGTTTTCTCCGGTAACCTATAGTATGGGGAATTAGATAGGCGAAAAACAATGCTTGAGCCCCAAGGCTATCCAAGCATAGAACGTTCTGTAGGCCATGGTCAAATCAAAAGGGTGCTGCCAGGGTGCTGTCTGTAAATGTTAGTTGTTATTACTAAAATGAGGGGTTAGCAAACATGGGCCAGGCAGGAAGGACTGAAGACGGGGTGGGGGGAGCTATAAGAATGAGGCTGAGGGTTGGCCAGTTGGGGCAGGGACTATAGAATAAAGATGGAGTTGGGGCTCCAAGAGCATGTTGCTGGGAGAAAGGTCTTGGAAAGGTGGGGAGGGTCTACATCTAAGAGGGGTCACTGGGGAACAGGGCTGTAATCTGAAAGACCAGAGGAAGGTGTCTGTTGGGGTTGGGGGGGTTGGAGGGGAGTGAGGCAGAATGATGGTTGGGAGTTAGCCACACACTTAGCGAATGGAAAGAAGGGTCAATAGGATGCCAGTCACTGATGCTGGGAGGGAGGTGGGGAGGCTAAGGAGATGCCACTGAGAGAAAAAGGAAGGGTGATGAGTACGGGGGAAGCAGGCAAAGAGTTGCTGGTGAAGCCAGGCACAGATAGCTGGTTATGGGTGGAGACAGCGATGAAAAAGGAGGAGATGCGTTTGTCACCACTAGAGGGAGGAGGACACCGGTGGCTGGGCCTGGGGCTGGGGCGGCTGGGCTGTTTTAAAGAGGCTGGGCGAGGCTTAGCTGCGGACGGGGAGGCGATGGGTGGGTGCGAGGGCTGGGCGGGGCTCCGTGAGGAGAGGGCGGGGCTGCCGTCGCCTGACCTGGTCGAAGTAGATGGTCATGGTGCGGTTGCTCATCTCGGAGGGCTCGTGGTTGGTGCTGCGCGTGGCCGAGAAGGCCACCTTGGCGCTGCCGGAGCGGACGGAGATGCCGAGCGAGGAGGTGATGGCGCCGTCGGCGGACGGGCTGGAGTCGCACACCACCAGGCACTTGCCCTCCAGCACGATGGGCTCCGTGTCGTTCTGCGCGCCCACCACCGGGCAGGCGGCCGGCAGCAGCAGGAGCAGACCGCCCCCCGGGCATCTCGCCGCAGCGCCCGCCACCAGCCGCGGAGTCCGGACGGGGCGGCTGGAGGGCGATGGTCCCGGCGGCTGCCTCGGCTCTCGGGCGGGCACTCCGGCGGCCACTCGGCTGCAGCTGCCCGCGGGCGGGAGGCGGGCGGGCGTCGCTCCTGGCGCTTCTCCGAGACGGGGGCGGCGAAAGAGCGGCCTCACAGGCGGGTGGGGGGCGCGCTGCAGCCTGCGGGGGGAAAGGAGGCAGCGTCAGAAAGGAGCCGAGCGCAGAGCCGCCAAGGGGGATATCCCGGGGCCGGGGGGTGGGGGGAGGAGGCGCACTTCTCCGTCTCTTTCCAGGCGAGACGGACAAAGACCTCGACGGCGCGTCCCGAGTCGCCAGCCTCCTTATGAGGCCTTATTACGCCCGCCACCCCACCCCATCACCGCCCTCCCCGCCAGAGGGCTCTTCGACTGGACGTTGCGGGGAGAGAAACAAATGGTCCGTCGGCCCCCTATTGCGGAGTTAACGTGCGGCAGCCGGTCAGGCAACCAGTCTAGGGATCATATCAGAGTATCATGTGTGAGTGTGGAATCCGATAGGCACAAGCACACAATGTGGTCCCGAACATTTGTAGAGCCTGGCGAACAGTTAAGGCTGAAACCCCCGCGTGCATCTCTCTGGGAGTCAGCCAGCCCTCCCAAGCACAAGAGGACTTTCCTGAATCAACAGCCATCGGGTCGAACTGCTAATCTCGCCCCCACCCCCCACAGAGATAAGGGGGGGAGGCAGTGCGGGTCGACCCTCAACACTTCTCCGCACCCCCGTTTTAGATCCCCGCACACTGTTCCTCCCAGCTCTCGTTCGCATTTTACGCGCTTTTTTTCTTTTGCTCATCCTCGACCTACATTTTATTTGATGCTTTAATGGGAGTGATGGACGCTCGAGATCTCGCTCCATCCACGGACATTCTCTCCCCCCCCCCCATTCCCTTTACAAAC